CTTTCCCTAATGGGACCACTGATAATACCTTTTTCCCTTTTCCAACTGTACCTTTTCACAAAACCTTTAGAATTTTAACATATCTGAGAAATAAAATTTGATAGAAAATTTGGCTGAAATTGAGCAATAAATTCAGAAGCTATAAGGAACAACTGACAAATGGTCACACACCTGTACTTTCAAAATAGAAATGCTCTGTTTAAGCTTTATTTTCTTAAGAAATCAGGATAAAATCTACAAGCCTCTAACAGATAGCAACATTTTGGACCAACAGTACTATGCTGGTGTCAGTGGGATTGTATTTTCTGAAACGTCCTATTCATTCGTCCAATTTATCCAGAACACAACCTTTCAGTATTGCCACTGCAACTGAAACTGATTTCAGATGCTATTCTGGATAAATAAGGGTAAAAAATGAGCAAGTAGAATGCTTTTAAGAGTCCCAAGACCCTTCCATGCTTTATAAAGAAAGAAATAAATTACTTTTCACTGCCACTGACTTGAGGGTGACCTAAAAAATATATGTTTAGGCATTGTAAATCTTCAAAAAACAAAGTTCTGAAGAATCCTAGTGGGTACTCTATAAAACTGAATTGTAATCTCAAGTTATTTGCAAGTTACTTATATGAAATATATGCAACTTTTATTAATTGCCATTCTGTCATCTCCATTGTCAGTTTTACTTTAAAAGAGTATATCTCTTTACTAGAATATCTATAATATTTAGAATATAATAAATGTGTTTGTCTGCACACAGATGCTTTGAATATGTCATGGATTTTCTACTGTCTTCCTAAATAGTTCTTGGAGCAACAAATGTGTCATAAAGCTAAAAAACTTCCGAAGATTTTCTTGAAAGCTACGTAAATAAATGGAAAAGTCTTAAAACTCACCAATGCGCCTTTATCTCCAGATTGACCCTCTTTGCCAGGATGACCCTGATTTGAGAGAAATGTATCCGATTTGGGAAATACTCATTTTTCAGTAGTGACATTTTATTATAAAAACACAGTTATTTTAACATTTGAATTTCAGGACACTAATCACCCTAATTCTGTATTAGAACACACAGACACCACATTTTGAGGAAAGATTTTCCTTTCAATACCAATTTAATTTGTGTAACAAAAGAAAAACTAGGCCATAGTTATGTTAAAGTTTTTAGGAATATCCTGGTCACCACTTCTGTTTAGTTAATATTTCAGCAGTAAGAGGTTTTTAATGCAAGACACTCTAAAATTTTATTTTGAAACAGGTAGGGTGATTAATACTACAGCATGAAGACATTCCTACAATTATTTAAAAGATCATGTTGTTTATTGCAGAAGCCAATAGAAGGCTGCTCTAGTTTTAACATTCTCTGTCGTTTTAAACTGTGACTTACTTTTAAAACAATGTTCATGTCTAAGTCTTTGCTCTGTATCGCTGACATTAATACTTCTGCACTCAAAACATTAACCAATTCATTATTTTTCTTTCTTACAAAATTTACACAAAAATGTTGCAAACTTTAAAGGCAATTTAATGAAACTAAAGGTTAACGGAAGATTATTGTTTATGAGAGTAAGTCAGGAATCTTTTTTCTGTTTGCTTTCATCGGTCTTACTAGAGAAGCATAGTGAAACTCTAGTTTTGTCAAGCATGTGGTCCCACATGTAGCCAGCTACTAAAACCATTCATCTTTTGCTGTCATTGACATTCCAAAAGTGTTTTCAGTGTGTCAAATATGATATGACCTTGATGTGGCTCTTAATCTTACATGACAAATCCCTGATGGTTATGTTCAATTTCCTGGCCTTGGAAAACAGTTTAAAAGATGTTCTTTATTAAAAGAATGATTAAAATAAATATTAATTGATACTTGCTGTTTGATACTGATACCAGTGATTGTTAATTTTCTTTAAAGAGTTTGTCTAACTTTAAATATTTGTTATTTATTTTTAAAACACAGGCATGTCCATTGTTTAATCTTAATCTCCCACAATATGTTTTCTTGTGCACAAAACTTCAAATGTCAATCCAGAGGTCTCTATAATGTTAAATGACTAAAAATGCTGCTATTAAAAAGCATATTTGTATCCTGTTAGATTTCCATTAATTTCTGTATAATATATCAATTTTAACAATGTCTCACTTTCAAAATAGGACATTTCCTCATATAGAAGTGAAATTAAATAGCTAGCAAGAATTCCACCTTAGCACAGATATCACAGGAGCAGTTACAAAGCTCACTGAAGTCAGGAAGGTACTGCTCATTGCCTTCAATCACTTGTGTAATTCTATGGTTGTAAATAGGTCACGTCAATTAGAATGGACTTAGTTTAACCTGCCTCTCCTGCCCTTCCTCTGAACAAACCTACTTGCGCATGAGGGAGATAATTTTGGGTAGGTGTACTGGGTCTGGCTGAGATGGAGTTAATTTTTTTAATAGCAGCCCATATGGTGCTGTGTTTTGGATTGGTGACTAAAACTGCTGATAACACACCAATGTTTTGGCTATAGCTGAGCAGTGCTTGTACAGTGTGGAGATTTTGTCTTTGATCCCCTCTAACCCCTCAGTGAGCAGACTGGCGGCAGGCAAGAAGCTGGGAGAAGACACAGCTGGGACAGCTGTCCCATACTAACCCGAGGGATATTCCATACCATATATAGCATCATACTCTGCAATAGAAGCTCAGGGGAAGGAGAAGGAAGGGACAGTCACAGTTGTGGTGTCTGTCTCCCAAGTAACCCATACAAGTGCTGAAGACCAACTTTCCAGCAAGCGGTTAGCCTGCAGACTGGAAGTAGTGAATGAATTCCTTATTTTGCTTTGCTTGTGTGCACAGATTTGCTTCAGTTATTAAGCTGTTGATACCTCAATCTATGAGTTCTCTTGCTTTTGACTTCTGATTCTCTCCCTCATCCCACTGTGGGAGGAGTTACTGAGTGACTGGGTGGGTGCTTAGCTGCTGACTGTCGTCAACCCGCCACAGTATATCAGGTACAGACCTGTACTAACTCCTCATTATCTCCTAAAGCATTTCCCCCCTGCTTTTAAGGTTTAAAAAGATGCATATTTTAAAATATTACTTATGTTTCGAAATGAATATTGTTCCCAGCATGCAGAAAAGGATAAGGGGGAAAGTTAAAATGTTTAGACAATGACACAAGATAGAGACTTCCAGATGGACTATCATTGCATATTTAACATTCCCCATGAAAACAGTACTTCAGTGGGTAAAAGAGAGATTATGAGAGCCCTGGGTACAGTTCTGTATTTGTAATATAAGCATCTATGCAGTGAAACCCCTGCAGTCAGTTCTGTAGCTCCTATCCTAGCAAAACCCTGCTGAAAGTTAGTTTTAAGAATTGCAGATTTAACCTGTAAGAAAAACTGTAAGGAAAAATGCCATGGGGAGGAGAGACATGGTCTAAGTCACACTGACTGTCTAATGGCTCTTGATGGTTTAAAAAGATGATGGTTTTGGTGCAAGAAAACAGGTGTATATGCATGTCATGAACAATTATCCCATTTAATGGGATAATGCCTGAAGTGTAAGTGATGTTACTCAGGTGGCTGCAGTCTCTGCTCACATCAGTGAATGCATCCTCAGAGCCAAGCTAAATTCCTTTGTGATCACAGTATTATAAAGTTTGGCTTAGGTCTGTCCCAGTGTAGACAATGAAAGAAGCCCAAACATGTAATACGCACCTTAGGTCAGGAAGCAGAGAAAGATGTAGTATATTCTATGTTTCCTCAGAGAACAAGTGGTGAGCAGTTTTGCAGATTATTTGCTTTGCCATACTGACATAGTAGGACTACAGTGAAACAGTATCTAGTCCTTTGTGAGTCAGTTAGGTTGTTTACACATCCCTGCAGATGTTTCAGATGCATTTCATCATGTGTGCCCACAGCCACTTTAGCATCTGCTTCAGAAATGTAATTCTCTTAGTTTTAACAGCTCAAATGATACAGGGGGTTTAGATGGATTTTATAATGCTGTGGCAACTAGGACTACCAGTGCTTTTACTCCACATTTTCATTTTGCAACAAAGAATTATTACTCGGTAAAAGTATTTAAAAATTCAAAGGATGAAATATTTGGTTACTTACAGGAGGCCCATCAGAACCAGGAAGGCCAGGAAGGCCAGGCTTGCCTTGAGGTCCCTAAATGCAGTAACAGGGACACAGCTTAAGAACAACAGCAAATATTTTATAATTTGCTAGAATGATGGAGGATCATCCTTGCTGAGGCCTGGTATGCCCTAAACCAGCAAGCTGCTTTAAATCTTTTTAGTATTTTAAAATAGCTGGCAAACCCAACCCAGGTTTACAGTAGCTATAAGAAAAATAATAGTAATTTTAAAAGAACAGGAAAGAAAAAGGAAAAAAAAAAGCCCACCCATATCCAAGACATTTACTTCTAAGAGCTAAGGATATACATGTATACCTAAATCCCTTAATAGGTATTTCAGGGATAAACAAAAAATATAACAAAACTAAACCCAGAAAGATACTATCATACAATATATGAGTGCAAGGCCAGTTCTTACAACGTTTAGCCAATACAAGTCACCCATATTTTTCAATGAGAGGGCTTGCCTGAAAACAGGCTTCAGGAATTACGCTGAGAACATGCACGCAGACAACACCAGGTTGGGAAAAATTCTCCAGTGTACAAAATTAACTATTATTTAGAATTTCAGGAAGATCAAGAGGCAAAAAGTACAGGTTACAGAACTCCAGTGCTCATAGCTGAAAGGCATGGTACATGTTTGTGAAAGCCTATGGAAGGTGTATATTTTGGATCTAGTCCATTTTGCTAGAATAATACTTCTTAGGCACACAGGCAGGTAAAAATAATGTACATTGTTTTCTAAAATCTCCTTCAACTTCTTCTAAAGTATGTACTAAACAGCGAAGAGGAGCAAAATCAAAGAAGAATCAACAGAGCAAGAATTCAGTAAAGAGAGGAGAAAAGTAAAATTAGCATCAAATTCAACAGTGACTTTTTTAAATTAACAGAAGACATGTTTCAAACCACCAGAACATGCACAAATACATGGGTCAGGTAAAAAACACCAAGTGACACTACAGTACGCCAATTACACTGCAGAATTATGTGAAAATATAATCCTTGGAAAAAAGATAATAGAATCAGACTTTAGCAGGTAAAACTTTGTTATGAAAAAAGAAATTAATAAAAATAATTTTCACAGCTTGCTGTGAAATTAATTAACATACAAGTACACACTGTTTAATATTGTAGATGGGATTCTGAAGCTAATAACAGAAAACTAATCCAGAATAATTATGCTTGTGGAAAAGTGTATGTGAGAGGAAAGCCAAGCTTCCATTGGTTATTCATTAACTCCACAATTTCAGGAAGATCTGCTAATTTTTAGATCTTAGGTTACTCTTCTGTAAAACATAGCAAAGCCCTTAAGTACATAAGCAAAGTTGTTGCATGAAACTGACTCTGAAATACCAGAATATAATGCTCTAACTTACTTTTTCACCAGGAGGTCCAATAGGACCTTGTGGACCAGGAAGCCCCTATTAAAAAGAAACCAGTGTGAGAAACCAAGGAGAACAATATACATGCATTCACCCTACTCAAGGTCCCTCATTAATCTGTTTAAACACACTGGCAAATGTAAGTGGCTTTTTCACCCCCTTACAAGTTAGACCAGGAGTTTGTGTGAGCCTTTTGCACAAGCTACTATTCTGGCAGTAGGTCTGTAACAGGATCCTATTCAGCACCCTCCTCCAGGTGTGGCCACTCCTGCTGCATTCCAGGAACACTGAATGAGTCATTTTTCTCCTGAATGAAAAATCCCTCTGAAAGCTCACTTGAAAACTCTGCTCCCACTGCCCTCAGCACATTTGCAGCATTATTTTTAAAATCCTTGAAGCTTTATCGGTTTTGCACATGAAAAACTAACCTTTTAGTAATTTCCATTTATTAAACATTTGCTGCACATTCCATCGCGTTTCTTGAGAGTTATTTTGCACTTACTTGTGGGCCTGGAATTCCTTGCTGACCAGGAGGTCCTGGTTCCCCTTGAGGACCCTACCATAGAAAAAAATACCAGGGCATTAGGTTCGCATTTCTACACTACAGATTTTCATTGTCAGGACTAAAAGGAATACACATCCATCTTTGTTCTTCCCTCTTTAAAGTCTACCACCAACTTTCTATCCAGTATGATATTTTTTCATGGTAATGAATATCATGGCCTTTCCTTTAATAGAGAATAACAGCTCACAGACAGGAGCTAAGCACTGGAGTCCATGGTGCTAAAGGAGCTTGAAAGAAAGCATGGTTAGGCCTTTTGGCTGAAAACTAAGTAATAGAAGGCTTCTCTTTTCTATGTAAAATAATCATCTGAGTCTCAATATTTTCACAGAAAATTTTAATTAAATGGAAGGGATGGCATAATGGCAGAGGTGAGAGAATGTGGAAGGCATTCTTAGAATCCACTCCCTTTTTAATTCCCAAATTACTTACTCACCATGTTTCCTTTTGGGCCTGAAGGTCCATCAATACCTGCAATGCCCTACAAGAAACAAGATAAACATGAGCAACTTTCAGTGGACTTCAATTTTCTTCTGGAAGTTGCAAAAAAACCCAATTCATACTTACAGGCTGTCCAGGGGGACCAGGTGTACCTCTGGGGCCTAGTAATCCCCGTGGACCCTGTAAGAGAAGAAACACTTATTAACACTTGCATGATTTTTTCTGAACAAAAAGAGGCCCGGGAGCAGGACTGGGCGAGGAGTGTCATGAGGAGTAGTAAGGATAAGGGGAAGACAGCATGGGGGTTGAGGGAGAAAGAAATAAAAGAAGAAAGGGAAAAAATCACTGATAACAGGTTCTCCTGAAGGCCACCTTATGTCTGAACAGGGTGTCAGTGGAAGGACAAGCTTTGATTTAGCTGTTGTATGGGCATTTCAGACAGAGGTAGGAGATAAGTCTTTCTATTTCCTGGTGCAGAACTTTGGCACAGCATCTTCCACTAAAGTTTCAGCTGCGTCTTGGCCTGAAGGTCTGACCTCAATAGTAGTACACATGTTTGTATTCCTAAATACATTATTATCTGTCATACACTGTACTACTATTTTAAGTGCAAAACAGTGCTTTTATTTGTAATAAAGATCCAATATATAATTAAAAAATACTAAGTAATTCATTAAAAATGCAAGGCATTCTGGAAACCAGAATCAGATTTGTTCCTCTTACCCCTAAAAAATTCCACAAAAGACCAAGGGCTATTCTCCTAAATAAGGTGAGCAAGATTTGGTCTACAACATAATCTTTTGGTTTTATACTATGTAAATGAATATTAGTTTTTATCATTCGTGTCATCATTCATGCCACAGTGCTAAAGTAGGCAGGACTGCCTTTCCAGTCTCCTCATGTATGATACGGTCACAAATCACTAACACTCCAGCTCTGTAGCGAATCCTTCCCACTTTGTGAGTAGGCAGCAGTATATCATACATTTAGGGTAAAATTCCCCTTTCTGAGACTTGATTTCTTGCCTGCAATGCAGAACTCTGCTCTGCAGTGACAGCACCTGCAGAATTCCAACTGACAGCAGTGGAAATTCTGTATGTGAAACAAGTGTAAAAAATATACAATGAAGCACAGTAGTGTGAAAAAAAGGAGAAGCCAGGCCTTATTTTCTAATAAATAGATGTTTGGGAAAATTCTCAAAGCAACAGGAGCTTGGTTATATTCTCATGTATCAAGAACTGCAGTGACTAATTTTACACAATAGGATAAGAAATAGCCTTTGTGATTCTGGAAGCCGTGCTTACTTGGCTGGATATATCCCTGATTTCATTCTAATTCTCTAAGTAGTGTTTCACCACTTAACAAAACTGTTCATTTGTTTGCTTTTCAGCCAGAAACAGTATACACACACAGTAATTTTTATACCTGGAATTCAGAACAGTTCAATAAAAAGGAAAATAATCTGACAGTGACTTTTGTTTGTAATAGGAACAGAAGAAAGCATTGCTTACAGCTTCACCTGGAAGACCTCTTGGCCCAACTTCCCCATCTTCTCCCTGTGTTTGTACAAAGGGAACAGAAGTTTTAGAAAAAAAGAACATGTATCATGACCATATTCCCATCACATGAGGATTCACTCTAGATTTTACTGTGTGAATAGCAACTTACTCTTGATCCATCTTCACCAGGTAAGCCAGGGGGTCCCTGTGGGCCACGGTCTCCCTGTAGAATAAGCAAAGCAATTGAAATAATACATCTGTTGCTGGAAACAATAATGGATGGGAAGGAAAATATAAAAAAAATGTGTTAGCTGAAGTCTGATATGTCAAAACATGTCTTGACACAATGATACAAATCTGTAGGCTATAGTACTCAGTAAAGTCTTTTATTACATTAGTATAAAAACAGATGAACATTATTGTGAAACAGTGAACTATTCGTGTTTGTAAAATTTCACTCTGTAACTATTCTTGGCCCCAGAACATACACAAACGATTGCTACAAAAGGTAGTGTTACCCACATTTTCCTTAGTCTCATCAGGACCTTCCCCCTCCCCCTCCACAATGTATTACTGCCAGTAAAATAAGGCATGTGAACACCGGTCAGAAGTTAATAAACCAATTCCTGGGCCCTGTAATATACATAGTGAAGTTCACTAGCCACCTTTCAGAACCACACACCCTGGCACCAGTCACTGAGAGCCTTGGGACTGATTTGTCTGAGGCTTTGGAAGGCAGCCAGACTTTCACACTTCCCCTCAGAGGTTGAGGCTTTTCAAAGTCTATATATGCAGAGCCTCAGTAGATCCTGGAGCATACTTTTAGGATTTATTTTTCTTTCCCCATTTCTAAAGAGAACTAGTGTGCTGCATAGCTCAAACACCACTGACTGACCTCCTTCTGGGCAGCGGGTTTTTAGACCATGACTTCCTTCTGGCATTGGACAACAACCAAGTATTCATGCTGTTTTCCTTAATTTTATCAGTGTCTCCAAGAAGCCTGACCACTGCTGTGGATCCTAGCAGAGATATATGGAGTCACTCTTTAGTGGCTCTGTTCTTTACTCTTTCAAACATTCCTAGGGAATTTTAGGTGACTTGCCCTCTTACCCCAGAGCTATCTAATATTAGGGATATATGGGTTTTATTCTACTGTATTTCTGTCCTCTTTATGTTTGAGTTGGCACAGGAGAGAATGAAATTCTATGAACTGCACTTTCATACCTATAAGATGAATTGATACAGCAGTTCCTAAATTTTGCTAAGTTTTGGAACTACTCCACATGATTTGCTGGTATACCATATATTTTTCTACATGCTAAATGTCACTCCTGAAAGATGACATGAGTCACATAATCTGTGCTCTGGCTTCCACTCAATACCCAGGTGAAGATTGACTTAGGCTTTCAAATATTGAAATAATTCATGCCCTCAAGGGCAGACTTTCTTGTCTTTCAATTACATAGCACTTAGAGTTAGATTAGGAACTTGCATTCAGTGTTCTGGTGTTGTCATGCAGTAAGGACAGAACTTCCTATAATTATCAACATTCTCAGTTATTTTCTTAAAATGTTCTGTTCAAGCCTGAATTTATTCTTCCTTAGACACATCCTTCTAGTATATAGTGTCTTGCTTTTATACTGGAGAAGGATTATGCATCTAGCAAATCTAAATAAGAAAAGTTCAGCGTCATTGAGGCTAAAAGGAATATTACACCATGTGGTCTGATCTCCCCTACACTGGAAGTCAGAGAATCGCATCCAGTAACTCCTTTCTGACAACTTTTGTTTGACAGAGGCATAACCTCAGGGAGACATCCAATTTGTAACATGGTTACACAGAACTGAATATTTTCATTACATACTGTCAGTATATATGAATCTGAAGACCTATAGCTACCTGATCTGGCTTTGAATTGAGCTGTTTTCAGAAAGGTTTGTACTTTTACAGAAGATTGCCATAGAAACATGAGAATGTAGTGATTTTTAAATAGTGGGATGAAAGAAATGATGAAAAGAAGTCACTATTTTCATTACTGGTTTGCAAATTTCAACCCAAACTACTACTACTATTTTTAAAATTTTTATTTATGAACCAAATAGAATATTTTAAAAAATGAAATTAATTTCTTTATGACTTGGGAGGTCCCACAGACAGGCAATTCCAGTATTCCAGGTTGGAAAGCAGACACGCATTCCCTGACTGAATCTATGTCTGCTCAGCCTTCAGAGTGCAGCAGAGGCAAGAGCTTAACGTCTACCCCCCTCTGCTGGTCACCTGCTAGTCAAGCTGGATTTCAACGACGGGGTGTGCCGATTGCTATACACTCAAGTGAATGGGGATGATGAAAGAGGATCAAGACATTTCCACAAGACACTAGAACTTATTTTCCCATTGCAAACAGAACTCAAGAGAGTATTCTTAGATGCTGTTACAAAGAACTACATTACGGGCCAGTAGCCACACAGCTGAGATTTCCTGGAAAGTGTAGCAACTGCTCACCATTGAAGGGTGAGAGCTATAATCATTCCTTGGTCACCAAGCTTTAGCACATATAGGAATGGTTCTGTTAACATACTCACCCCACTGTTTCTTTTATGGTGCATTTCACTTACCAGGACAACAGTAAGGGAGGTACATTCAGTGGAGTGTGTTGTTACTAGCATCTAGATTAGGAGTATAATTTAAAGCAGAAATTCCCTGGCTGTGATTATTTCTGCACTCTGTAGGAAAAGATGCATTCTCATCCTATAGATTGGTATGACATAAAGAGCAAGTACATTATTTGTCTTAAATATTATTTCAAGTTTTTCCTAACTTATCTGACCTGACTCTGATCTTTCCTTAAGGTGCAGGTGTTGGAATATCAACACTAAACAATTCAGTTTGCAATTCAAATATTGAAATGCATTTTTTGTGCAAGCTTCCCGGTAGGTTAAAATTTGTCACACTCCTAATACAGAAACTTCATGCTAATTTCCTTTTCCTACTATTATTTCCTTTAACAATCACTTTAAATCCAACAAGCAAGTTCCTTAACTAAGAAAAATTTAGAGAAAAGCCTAGCTGAAAATGTGATCTGACATCTGAAAAGATATTTAAATTATTTATATAGATATGAATTGTTGTCTGTTGATCGATATGAGTAAAATGTTTCATCGATAATACATTACCTGACAATATAGGTATTATTCTGAGGCATGAAAAGTTGACATTCTGTTCTAACTTTCCACATAGTCCTTAGTGCTATTCTTAATGAATAGTCCGTTATTTCTGTGGCGGTATCAATCTGTTGTTGTATAAATATACATGTTTTTCTTACCCTGTTACCTTTGTCACCAGGGAGACCAGGAAGACCATCAAATCCTCTGTCACCCTAGCAAAGAAGAAATCACAGCTTTAGTAAATGACTATTGGATTGTGTATTACTCTGAATAAATTGTGCCTTCCCGCTAAAAGACAATTTCTTCTCTTGGTTATATGAATGCTTTTGTTATTGAATGAAACACAGGGATCGAACTCACAAAATTTGCATCTATGCATTAAATCAAAAAGAAGATGCCACACCAACTTTTTCACTGTGCTGTAATTATGCTATTTATAAAACAAAAAGCTTGATTCTAGCTGCACTTTGCAGTTGCAAAACCAACTGACTTTACTATTACTGATACTCTGTGACTAGAAACTGACTCAGAGGGATAGGAATCATGTCTCAAGAATCAAGTTACTTCAAGGTCAGTCTACCAGTTATTATCATTAATTACCATATTTTAAATGGATGATTCATTCTCAGCTCTTGCATCTGACCCAGCTATCTGAAACCTCAGTATTTTCACTTGAGAAAAGAATTTTGGGTTGGCCTGGAAGAAACTGTGGTACCCACATAAAATATGTCTAGCCCATTCCAAGACTGACATAAAGCCTCAGGTCTCATTATTATTTACCTTTGCACCAGGTTCTCCTGGCATTCCTCTGGCACCATCAGCTCCAGGACGTCCCTGAAAAAAACCCAGAAGGGCAAACATTTGAAAATGCAGTGGAATCAGTTAATATTTGAATATATTTAAAGAGAAACTATTTATCTAGAGCAGGATTGCTCCACATGCTACCTACCCGTTTCCCAGCTTTTCCACTTGGACCAGGGGCACCTTGAACACCACGAGGACCCTAAATTTAAAGAGTGTAATTGTTAGAATCACATTCATGTCAGCAAAAAGCTAGTTAAACATCTCACCTCAAGCACAAGATAATTTTTTTTATACACAAAGCTGCATTTTTTTTCCCAGGGGATGGATTCTGATTTCCAAATTCCCATTAGTTTTAATAGAATATGGGCATCCAGACTGGCCTTAGCACTACCAATTTTAAGACTAGTTTTCACACGATGGCACTATATATGGCATAATTGGTCCTTTTAACATAAAAGCTTCTTACAATCTTTTTATGGCTTTGAAGATCTCAGTCTTATGGTTTGGAAACCCTTCTTCCTCTCATGTCAAAATTATTTTAGTTGCATAATAATAATTTGATAGAAACTAAAGAGTGAGTATTTCAGATCCCTAACTCATACACAAACATGAATTGTGCTGGTAAACAGCTCACATGTTGTCTTAGCTTCACACAGCACAGTTTTAACTGGAAAGACAAGAAATTACCCCAGACTGAACAGTTTAATTCCACTTTTCAAACACATGTAACTTTCACTGACAACTGTGTGGACATATGTTCCTGTGAAAGCTTTCTCATTCTCACATCCGAATGCATCGTCTTCAGATGGAAAGAGCAATGGTAAGGACTAGCCATCCAAAAATACTGAGTAGGAAAAGAAAAAAAAGCAAACTGGAAAACTGATGAGATCTTCAGAGGGACTTTTTTAATTGCTTCATTTTTCTTCTGTAAATATCCATGTAGAGTTTTAAGATAGACACTTAATGATGTAGGAAAGTCACGATACTACTTGAGATCTGGCAAAATCATTGTTCCAGAGACTCCTATCATTACTTCCTTAAGAATCCTATATTACTTTTAAGTTTTAAGTTGAAAAATTTCAATATGCTTCGGTGCCCTTTAACATCACTGCACAGGAGCTATTATAATACATAGCTGAGAAAAAAAGCATGCACTGATTCCTAAAGACGTATTCTTATTCTTGCTATGTAATTCTTGAAATTATCCTGTTTAATTACCAACTAAATTCAACCTCTCTCACCTTACGAGATCTGGTAAGATCAGCGCCCAAGGTCATACGATTCCAGACTGACATATGATTATTTAACAGAGAAAAGAGCCTGAAGTGACAATATTAAAACAGATTTTCAAGTGATGACACTCCACATGTGGTAATTGCTCTCTGTTATAGAAAGACTGTTACTTTCATATTTCAAAATGAACAATCAAGCTATTGCATTTAATTAGGATAACATTGTAAAAACTATTTTGCTTCAATTGCACATGGAAAACATATCATTGATAAATTTCTTCTAAGTGATATAAAAGCATTTTCTTAATGATAAAGACATTCAAACATAACAGGCAATATTACTGTACCTGGGGACCTGGTTCACCACTTTCACCCTTAGCACCTGCTGCTCCAGGTCCACCCTTGATGAAGAAAACAAACCATAGTGTTTAAATATATAAAAAACTCTTTAAATGAATAAGTTACTTTCTATTTCTATACATTAATTACAGGGAGAAAAAACAAACAAACCCTACTCATTAGGAGGTGTGAATTCATCATTTGAATAGGTAGAGACACCCTGATATATCATTGTCTAGACAGTGGGCCTAACGGGGCCAAAAATCTATTACCAAAGAAAATTCCCATCAATCTGAATGGGATTCAATGTAACCCTTTGTTCTGTATTAATATTTCAGAGCTAAATATAAGCACAGTAAGAACATAAGTAATGTAAACAGAAGTGCATCCGCTGCAGTGAATGCAACAGAAATGAAAGCTTCCTCATTTCTCCTTTATTTCTGTGTTGCACAGAAAGTACCAGTGTCTTGGAGTTCAATCCAAAGATCACTATCGTCAATGAAAAATACCCCCCCTAATCTTGTCATGAACTTCAGTGATGCTTTAATCAAGATTTTTGTGCATCTGGATCTGAAGAAGTGGAAAATCTGTATATATGCACTTCTTCACTATCATTTAAATGCTGATAGAGATTTTCAGAGTAAGTTTTACTCATAAACAGACCTAAACTAGATCATCATCCAGGGTTTAGGTCTGTGCATGGATTTTGGGGCAGAAGTAGTCAAAGTAAGTTTGTGTTTTCTTAATAACGGTCTCAAAAAAAATAGACAAAAAAATTCTGACATGCCTACATAGAATACAGGGTCAGAAAAGGAACATACTAGAGTTTACTATTATGGGCAAAAGAATTTTTGCATTTATGACCTCTGAAACAGGTCATAACCAAATATTTGTATTTAATATGAAATGAATCTTGCACATCCTGGAAAATTTATAATCCTCCTATATTCACCATAGGGACCATTCAAAGAATCCCGCTGATCTTGCAAATACTGAATCAAGTCCTAAGCAAATTGAAAATCAGATCCTGAGCGGGTACTGGCAGTGGACAGAGCAGTGGCTTTGGTAGATGGTGACTGTTTGGGTATTCCTGAAGTAAGTCCTGTTTTTAATTAATATAATTGATTGCATTTAATATCTGTATGCAGAAAGTTATTTTGTACGCTATGTTAATTTAGCATGTGGACTCCAGACTCAGTTGAAGCTAGACTGGGGCTTTGACACTGTTTAAGACTTTTAATAACTGATATGTTTCTAAATGTATCTTATTGGCTACTAAATTAATTTAACAAAATACAATTTATATTAAGAGTAAAAGCTTCAGTTATTTAATTTGTAAAATAATCTGGGCACACAAACACTTGACAGACTGAAAATCTGTAGTTGCTTCTGGAACTCTAGGCCAAAAATGTTGCTAGATCAAAGAGCTGGATTTCTAGAGCCTCCTGGTGGCTTAGAAGCAAAACAACTATTAATATTCATTTGTTGAACTTTGCATACAGAAATTCATGAAGGCTTTTAAAACATGAAAGCATGAGTACGAGGCTAGGTTATACTTCAGCTGAAGGTACACAACCCACTGTCAATATTATACCAGCCTTTATAAATTAGTGCCTTGCTTACAGCAGTTGTATAGTTATTTTGTCTGTATAGACTGCATGTTAACCTGCAGGTCTCTTGATTTGAACACATTACTGGAAATAGTGTATTAGCTCGTCAAGTAGACTCAACATGTTTGACTATTTGTAAGTATTGTATATATAATCATGATCAGTCAGGAGTTTTTGAGCCAAATTCTCTGCTTGGTAGCAACTATCTACATTGGAAAAATTACTCTACACAAGAATTGCTCTTGTATAAGTCTGCTTAAAAACAGAAGTAGAGTCCAGCGATTTCAGTTTCTGGGGACCAAGTGAGATTCTGGTGGGATGTTAAGCTAAAATTTACCTGAAAAGAGATAAACAGACTGGGTTCATGAGACTGGCCAATTTGGAGCACAGTGTAATCTGGAACAGATTTTTTGACGCTATGTGAAGATGAGGGAAAGCACTACCAAGCCAACTGAGAATACAACAGTTCTAGTATCACGCAGCTTTCAAGGGTCACTGAAGAGAATGTTAAGCTGCTAGGATCAGAGAAGAACATGAACCAAACTACTCTTTACGCTCCCTAAAATATTCCTTTGACAGTATGTAATTACCTTATGTCCACCTGGGTTTTCTTTGTTAATAAAAGTGGTCACTGGAGCAGTGAGAGCCACTGAGGCAAACTTTCAGTTGCATTGTGCTGCTGTAGTTACACACAAAGAGATGGACAGTAACCTGGCCAGTATTTTCTGTCAATAATAGTAGGATGCTATACCCATGTTGTTCATCTGCTGCTCCTGCTTTCAAACTGACAGGCACTGTACATTAAGGAGGGTGAGGATGAGAGGGAAAAAGAGGAGGTTGGAAGAGGAGGATTTCCTCATTAATATTCAGCTATGGGCTGCTGCCAAAGCATCACATTAAAGAAGGAAAGAAGCGCAAAAGAAGAGAAGGGAACCATATTTCTTATACTATAGTTTCACCATTTCTAAGTCTGAGGTCCAGGGTTCAGGTCCCTGTTTACTATAATGTGCTGGTTTTGCATGAGCTCCCGCCAGCAAGTAGGCTGGGGGTGCACAAGAAGCTGGGAGGGAACACAGTCAGGACAGCTGGCCCCAACTGACTCAAGGGCTATTCCATACCATATGATGTCATGCTCAACATATAAAACTAGGGGAAGAAGGAGGGAGGGACATTTGGAGCTACGGTGTTTTGTCTTTTCAAGTAACTATTATATGTGATGGAGCTCTGCTTTCCTGGAGATAGCTGAACACCTGCCTGCTGATGGGAAGTAACAAATTAATTCCTTGTTTTACTTTGCTTGTGTGCATGGCTTTTGCTTTACTTATTAAAGTGTCTTTATCTCTACCCACGAGTTTTCTCACTTTTACTCTTCTGATTCTCTCCCTCATCCTAACTGGGGAGAGAGTGCAAGCAGTTGCGTGGTACTTAGTTGCTGGCTGGGGTTAAACCATGACACTAGTTATGAACAAACCTCTACTACTGGGATGACTGGAAGGAAACTACCTTGGAGGAATATAATATGGCATTTTGAGGCTAGGACAAATACAGGTGGTCTCCAGCAACTTCTGTTGCTGTCTTAGACTAGATATGTTGCTGTCTTTAGACTAGATATTAGGAAGAAATTCTTTACAGTGAGGGTGGTGAGACACTGGTACAGGTTGCCCAGGGAAGCTGTGGATGCCCCCTCCCTGGCAGTGTTCAAGACCAGGCTGGACAAGGCTTTGGGCAACCTGGTCTGGTGGGAGGTGTCCCTGCCCATGGCGGGGGTTGGACTGGATGAGCTTTAAGGTCCCTTCCAACCTGAACCATTCTATGATTCTATACATGTTGCTATAGTTCTGACTGGTATATCTCTGTAGTTACTTTTTCTTCACACAACAAACTAATAGGAACTTGCTTAAACTTTTTTTCTTTGTTACCCAGCGATCACGTGTTTTCATTTCTCAGTAGCATAATTGTATCTTTGCCTGTGTTTTACAACTAGATACTGTCTGATCTAATTAAAAATGTTAACATTACTCTTTTCATCCATCACCATAATGACAATATAAATAAAAAATTACAGCAGACATAGATGAAAATTTAAGAAGCTAAATATTTGCCAACCTATCTGTGCCATCACAGTAGACAAAATAACAGTTTCTGAAGTGGATCTTTCAGTTATGGATGCTGTACTAACTGTAGAAGAGAATTTCACTCTGCATCAGTGGATAAATACAATCACCTGGGAGAAAGTTAGAAAAGACTAATCTTCTGCAAGGCTTATGATCTTGGCTGCAGCATCTGTTATTTTATATCATGGTACAAGAGCTTTATAATAGCTTTTTGGAAGATGGTAAATGCTAAATTATGCCATTTAGTGGACTACTGAGTCTGGAAAGTATCCATTTCTTAAAAGAGGAAATTGCAATTGCAAGGCTGATAAGGTGTTTTTGGCTTGCTGAGCTTCCTACCTGGTTTTATTCTGTACTGTGAGTATTGTCCTTTTAATGTGTTTGTAGGTATTACAGAGGCAACCTTATTTGTGATCAAAAAATTCTTTTGCACGTCATCAGAAAAACTGTTGTGTTCCATGCACAGACTTTGTACAAATATTAAGCTTTTTTAACATCCACAGGGCCATTTTCCAGATCATTCGGTATTAGCAGTCAAGACAAATTCAGGCCTGAAGTAAAAAAGAGATTCTGTACAGTCTTATTTCAGTATCTCCTTCTGTAGAGTTTTGTATTTACCACAAGAAATTTTATAAATATTACTACAGAGATGACTGACTGTAGAGGCATTTAGGTAAAACTATTTGCTAGTTTTGTAAGTCTCCCAATGTGCTTTATCCAAACACCCCAAAACCTGCAATAAAAACTGATTTAGTATTCAGATTGCATTACAGACCTTGAATAAGAGTACAAACTATGGCTTTAATTATATAAATTTCTTTACAAATAAAGTAAGTACAAATACAGAGATGTAGTCAAGGCCAGAAAGACTGGACTTGCGTTACTGTGTTCTTAAAACTGTGCCCGTTTTGTTTACATACCACAGGACCTGGTCTTCCAGTGAGTCCCATAGGACCAGGTGGACCTCTCATAGCAATCTGAGAAAACAAACAGAACAAAACAACAGGTATCAAGAAAACACTGCCAGCCAGCATACAAATTCTATATTAACACAACTTCATAATGCATTAGCAAATAGCCCCCATCATTGAGTTATCTTTCAATAAGGATAACTACTGTGATGAAATGATGCTTAGAGCTCTTTACTTCACATCCTGCATGATATAAAACTGATTTTTTTTTCAAGCTGTACTCTTGTGGCAGTGTTTCATTTGCAGGCTCCTTGTGCTCACCCTGGCTTGCTGAAGAATAGCTTGCGCTTGAGCTTCCTGAGCTGAGATTGTTGGGCCCTTCTCACCATCTCCACCAAAGCGGAACTGCAAGTATCAAAACAAGAAAAGGATTCAGAATTTATCAGATCGAAACCACACGTGTTGTTTGCTGCAACTGTGTAAAGCACTTGAAATACACACACTCTCAATCTTCAGTTTATTCCACTGTCTTCAGAATACTGCTGCACTGAGCGCACTGGACCCAGTATGAATATTAAGTCATTGGTAGTAGTTTAGAACTGAATCTATTCCCTTATGAGCAAACCTTTTCTTGATTTCGTAGACTTTTGTTTACTTGGGTTTTTTTGTTTCAAAAAGAGGCCATAATGGACTAATTGTCTGCAAAACCTCATTAAAAGTATGTATCAAAATTAATTAATTCTCTGTACATTCGTAGCTATCTACAGAAAAATGCAATTCAATTTAAGGCAGACTTTAATTTGTAAAATTATTGCTATTTAAAATGCAACAGTTTTGTGTCTTTTCTGACAATTTCAAAATAAATTACAGAATAAAATTTACGTACTTATTCCTGCACTCCTGGACTGTTACTGCTCATGAAACTGCTAGCAGAGGCTTTGCGATGTTGCAGAGACACTAAGCTGCAATAAGAAGCACAGCTTTCCAAAGGTACGGCATAGGCACACTGGATATCAGGGCAATGAATCTTTCACTGCCCTTAACAGTTTGTCCAGTTTCCCTATGCCCAGAGCTGACATGAGAACTAAGGTCTTTCTCCTGCAGTCATATTATTATCAGAATGGGAGGATTATTTTGGAAAGTGATGGAAAACTTATTGCTTTAAGCCCCTACAAATGAGCACATGACTTCTTCTAAAATGAGAAGAGAAATACCAAGCCTTCTATCATTTAAAAGGAGGCCAGGTGGTTAGAGTTATGCTCAGCTAATATCGTGGGGGAGTAGGCATCAGTGGTAGGATGGTACACACATCCCTCTTGAGATGATGGCCATGGAAGAAGAAAGAAGGACTGTCACCAGCAGACTCCCCAGTTCATAGTGAATGTGATGTTTATGGTACAGCAGAGTACTAATTGGTCAACCTGGGGTCAGCCTGGGGACAGCTACCCTGGGTTTCTGCTTCCCCCAGGCTCTGCACCTGTTTATCTCAAGCCACTAAAGACTTTGATCATCACATAGCAGCACCATCTGAAAACTATAATGAAGTGTCTTATCACTTTGTTCCCATGAAAGAGAGCGTTGCAGTCCTTATAAAATTGGAGTTTTCCTAAACAGAAAACTGACTCTAAAATTCTGTCCCAGTAAACCAGGACACACTGTTAAATTCAATTACACCTCTTTACACCATTATACCAGGATGCCTCTCAAGCTAGTGAGCAGGTCATCTGTTGTAAAGGATACTGGCTTCTCAGTGGAGTTTATAAATGTGAAAAAGAAGTCTCGATAGCGGTTGAACTACTAGGCTGGAATTCAGGAGACCTGAAGCCAATGTCTTCCTTTCTGAGAAATTTCTGGATTGACTTGGTAAATCACTTGTGGTGAGACTCATCAACATCTAAATAAAGCTGGTAAGATTTTCCAAAGTGACTGACAGGTTAAGTATTAGTCCATACTTACTGGACTAGTGGAGCAAAATGATAAAAGATAAAACTTCCTCTGCTGACACAGCAATTACAGATGGAAGAATGATTTGGGAACAATTTCCCTGAGGAGTAGTGGCATTTTTCCGTCAACTAATTATTGGCAAACAAACATTTTTGCTGTATAACCAGCTGTGATAACAGAACTTGGTGCAGCCACAAGGTCAAAACCATTAGCTTATTTTAATAAACTTCCATTGACTGTTTCATAAATAGACGATAAATGTTACAAAATCATCCTTTTGTCATTGATACTGATGGAGTCCTGCCTCCTGTATAAGAACTGCAGCAACTACAGCTCCGATATTTTTTACTCACTTTGCTTTACTTACCAAAAATACTGCCCCTTCATTTACAGTTGGTTTATCAATTCTCTGGGATGGTAGTACTCATCAGATCTTTCACATACGCACATACACTTAGGAATAATGAATTCCATGCACATAGTACTTTTCATACCACAAAGCTGCAAGGTACTTTAACAGCTTTGGGCTTGTTCCTCCGCCTGCTAAAACAGATGGTGTTTTGCTTTTACTCCAGTGGGAGCAGAGCTGGTTATGTGCATATATTTCTATTCAAAGGATGCACTGACGCTTCAAAGAAGAGACTGAAGTCCAATTTTAAGGATGGAATGTCTAAAATTCTCCATGTCAAGTAGACTTGAAAGCACACGCTCCTGCTGGGAGTGCATGCCCTTTGTGCAACAGCAAACTCCTTGTTTTGGACATATAGTAGCAAATAACAGTTACTGTAAATATAAGGAGGATTTCAGTGAGTATAATACATTCATGTACATTCCAATTTGGCAGCCATGCAGGAGCTAAAGTATATGTTTTGTTCGAGGGAAAAAAGGTATCATGATCTTCAAATTTTTACAGCATACAAGAAACTCTGTATCATCTCTCATTTCAAAGATAAAATCATAAAAAACAAAACACCTATACATTTCTTGAAACACACTTCCTCTTTCTGAAGGCTGGTTACCCTGCAATGATAATACAACTTACCGGCAACATTAACATGGTACCTGGGGGACCTGCTAAACCATCAGCACCAGGAAGACCAGGGCGACCAGGTGGACCCTAAGAGGACAAAGGGATGAGAGAAAAAGGGATGAGAACAAGAAGATAGTTAAGTAGAGAAACTTTTTGAGTACACACACTTACACTTGTCTTCATAATGGCACACTTGGAGGTTTAATATTCTTTTTTGCAAATGATTTTGGAAAGTCATTCATTATTACTGAGGTAATTAAAGAACTGAATTAAGGGAAGACATTCAGCAATAGGGAAGAAAGATATTATCTTGAATTATTTTACACACAAATCACACTAAAAAAATGGAGCATGAAGTACTTAATTACGGAGGTTCTGCTTATGATTTCAGAGGTTGGGCTGAGCTGAGATTTGTATTGTATTCCAGTGTTTGCTTTATTTGATAGAAAGAACGAACACTGCTGATTCTCTTTAAACCCTTTGAGTAGGCTTTATTTTCAAAGGCTACATAAGTTCTGAAGCTATGAATTGAAATCTACTTTTAATGAAATCTAATTCTCCATGACAGTTTTGTGTAAGCTGAATTTGAAGAAAAATACCCATGTTTATAAATGATGCTCATGATTTTTGATCCAACAGGCTGCATAGATAAATACTGCTGTTATGACAGCAGCTGGATTTACAATCGTACCTTTCCTCCCAGCAATTTTCATGCTGCATTTTTACTGAAGCTGTCAAGAGCACGAAGGACCTGCATCAGGAGTGCTCATTTGCCTGCTGCATGCCAACCAAAGAACTCATTCACTAGAATGACTCTCTACAGGGTTGCAGTGAATGACCAACAAACATCAAACTCTCTTAACTGGTTCCTTCTGCTGCATATAAATTTAACTAAACAATGGGAAAGCTGATCCAAAACATTTTGGTGGTTTTTTCCCTCTTCAAGTATTAAGATCAGTAGTCTGTTACTGAGTCTGTTTGAACTCTTTTTCAAAAAAGCCTGAAGCATCAAAAAATAATTCACTACTACTAACACATTACAAATAAATCTTAAACTGAGAATTATTACTAATTCAGATACAAAATCTTGAATAAAATGTTATAATTGTTAAAGAGAACCATTAGATATCTAGACAATTTTGAGTTAAGGTTAAAAAATAGTAAAGTAATGAAATGCACTTGGCAGGGTACCCAAAGAAACTTCACTCTGACCTGCAGTGACTTTATACCATATGATTATGAGTCTCTGCGAAGATTAGAACTGAAAGATTAGATCAGAAGGTGAAGATTAGATTACTATAGATGAAATTGAAGATTAGAGTAGTATTTCAATTTCTTCTTCCATTGCACCATTTTATGAGTGAAATTCATCCCTACAGTAAGTAAAAGTGGGACCACTTTAGAAGCGTATGTTCATTCATTTCTCAATTGCCTCATAACAATTATTAGGATTAGAATGATATAGTTTAGTACAAAAACTGAAGCACCATAGGCTACTACAAAACTCAACTAATTGTTTTGTAGTTCTGTGCTTAAAGAATAGTCTCGATTGTTCTAGGCATTAATGAGGGATTTTTAAAATCAAGCAATGTGCTTTTCTGATGTGGTAATTTTCTCAGAATGCTACTTTTCTATTTTTTTTTTTACCGAAGAAGAAAAGTAGTCAGAATAGTTATGGCAAGACCTAGAGCCTTTATTCAGATACACTGATTGTTGTTTAAGTGAAAAACCAAACCTGTCCACATATGTTTAAAATTTAAAGACATGTTACTTCATTAGGATGGAGTCTGACAGCAGAATCTGGTTGCAGAAATCTGTATTGTTCTCATGAGTTTGGTAACTCATTTCTACAATTACTTATTTGTGTAATGTGTCCTTTTTTGTATAAAAGATGAAGTCTGTTTCATGACAGGCACATGATGTGTTTAGTCAAGAATTTCCTTATGAGGAATTCAGTAAGCAGTTAGTTAAAAAACTGAGTACTGTCAGGAGTTATTCTATTACAATGTGTTAAAATTTGCATTTCATAGATTGAAATTCCAAAATATGTTGTTTAGCTAATCTACAGGAAAGAAACATGAAAGAAGTGTGGATGGTGACTAACTATCAAGGTGAAGCATTGCTGGGATTTTAAAATTATCTCATTATTTAGTGAAGTAATAGGATCTTGTATACACAAAAATACAGTTGGTCTCTACCTTTCCATGTTATAGCTGAGGTCGTATTTCTACTGATAAGGAAATGTTTGTCCTGATTCTCAGTTGATTTGCTCAACTGAGTAAATCAGCCTCGGTTCCACTGAAGTTTCTTAAGGTATGTATTTATACTTCAGATCAAGATATAACCCACTTACTCTTGTAGCAATTAGTGCAAGACAGACCACGAATATCCAGGACAATCTGTTTGCTGACTTACCCTTTCACCGGGATCACCTGGAGGACCAACAGGGCCTTGTAGACCTGGGGGACCTGTAAGACCCTATGGAAAATGAAGGATATTATTATGCTGAATGCTTGCAGCATTTTTTAACTATTTTTTCTCTGGAAAGTTATTTTGAACACATATTTGGATAAAATTACTTATGCATACTTTTTTTTCTTACAAGTTTGATTTTCATGTGCGCTCAGTTTGTAGCATGCTGTCACTCTAAATGTTGGAGATGACCCTTTTTCACTCCCTTCTAAAAGCACTAAGTCCAATATATATTTGGGAATTATGATAAGACCAACATTATTTGTGTTAACTTATGGATAGCAAAGCACAGTAAATAAATAAAATGTAATAAAAGGAAATTGTGATTCATCTACTTACAGCAGGTCCTCTTGGTCCTGGTGGTCCTTCGATGAGCATACCCTAGGGGGAGAACAAAATAAAATACAAAACATCTTTTTAGCTGGACTAGTAAAATTACCATTTCTTAGTGCTTTCTAAACTTTTCTGGGGATATTCTCTCCACAGTTACTAGAATTAGAATCTGAACTGTTGTGTGGCTTTAAAAGTGAGAAAAACTTCTAGGCTGGAGGGATTTCATAGTACTTGATTCAAGATAACTTTTTTTTTAATGCTGTTAAATAATTTGATGTGAATAACTGGCTATTTCTACGTTGTGGGTCTTGTAACACCTTCTAGTTCCTTCTTTTAAGTGCAGATGCTAGTCCAAATTCCAGGTCATGGTAAGACTTGTGAATATATGATCCTCGCTAGTACTTGGCTTGTACAAGCTTGAAGCAAGCTGTAGTGAACTCCAACAATGCTGAAGATTGGCAGTGGATAACTCTTCAGTATTTTGGATACAAACTAAACCTATCTTGCAATGGTTTAAAAAAGCCATGCATTTTGTGAGCTTCTTCATGGATTATGACTGAGAGGTCACAATCTTGACTTGTAATTAGTTCATTATTGTAGTCCTTTAACTTCAGTGATCAGTAACTTTACCAAATGCTAATCCTGAGATAGGAATATAGAATTAAGAGGGAGCTTTTGGGTCACGGTATCCAGAACTTTGATATTTAGGTAACCATGACAGATCACAGTATTTTACCAGGCTTCAACTTGAGCTAATTTTTTCCCTTTATATCCCTATACCTAATTTTCTATGAAATAAAGACCAGATTAAATTTTATTTTCTATTTGCATCAAATACGTATTTGAAAGCAGTCCTTAAAAGTTCTAGAAGACTGAATCACACTAGTATTTACAAAGTTATTATTTTTGTATATGTCTTTTTGTAAATTCAGTTACATTTTAGTTTTTAACTATCAAACATAATGCTACAGTCTAATTTCATCCTACTGTAAAAGCCACTTAGTAACTATGCTACTATTTAAAGATAAGAAAAATTCTGTAAGCTACTGATCCATTAATGTGCTTATGACAAAGCTATAACCTCTGAAGAAAGTATTTAATTAAACTTTTAGAAGTTTGATTGCACCAGCACAGGTTAAACACACAAGCATTTATTTAACCTCTCAGAGGGACTTCCTTGTCCTCGCAGAAATGTGTAGTTACACTGTTACCTCTGTGCCTAAGCTCAAAGATATTTCTGCAGGTCTGTCCAAGCTGTAGGTACTAAATGGCCTGAAGAGCAGATCTAGGCTCTACTTTCTTTTTTCCAAAAAGATTGTCCTTGTTTTAAGGAACATGTAGTTAGTTCTCTGTGTATCCAAAAAAGAGGGCTGTCTCTTATCACTTTTACACTCTCCACTCTGCAGGTGATTGTTTCAGAGATCACGGATAAGGCTAAAGCCATCCTATCATAAACAACATGGTTTGATAATGATATATCAGCAGTTACATACATATATGTTACATAGTGCTAAATAAAGACTCATCCACATCTGTACTTACCGGTTCAATCACAGCTGGTTCTCCCTTTTGGCCTTTTTCTCCATAAGCCCCATGTCCAGTCACCTGGCCAGTAAAAACAGCCCCCAAAATGAAAATAAGTAGAAGGTCTAAGGACCTGATACAAAAAAGAACTACAGCAACCTGTAACTGAAAGCTAAAGCTGGAATTGATCTGTGCTATGAAAAATACATCACAGACACAAGCCTTTTCAATTAAAATTATTTAATAAATGAGAAATGTAAAATACAAAAACTGCATGCATACTTTTCAAATTCTTGGATATTGTCAATTTGTAGCTTTCCAGTGAGGTGCAGTATTTTACATTTCATTATTTGCTTTAGTGATTTGGACCTAGAATCTAAAACTTCTGTGTGCAAGTCACAAAGCTGTTTCTTTTCTTATTTGAATGGACATATTCTTGGCAATTAACAATGATTCTTCATGGCCTTCTGAGATAAAGTAAGCTGGATAGAAAGATCCCTCGGTCCTATATGGACAATACCTTTCAAGCTCCTAATTTCATTCATTAGACACCTACAACATGTAAATTAGTCTGAGAAGAGTCTGTGACTTTATGGCATAAATGGGAAAGGAATGAAGTGGTGTTGTAAACATTAAATAATATTTCACGGATAGCCAGTTATGCCTCCTAACTACATGAATTGGCATCAACTGCAAAATTCTTTTAGGATCAGCTTTATGGGAAGTTTTGGGTTCAGGATTAAGATAACAGAAGTAACTAAAATAACAGGTCAATAATATGTGCTAATGGCAGAACACGGACAGATTCAAGTTTTAAACAAAGAAAAAGGAAGTGTGTTTTTCTAAAAATCATGAGACATATTTTTCTTCAGAAGTACCTCTTTTGATTGCTAACATATTCACTAGAAATTAAATTTAGCTCTGATCAGCTGAAAAACTGAAATGCTTTTTTAAAATTTCAGTAGAGAGATGCCACATTCACACTAAAATAGCGGGGAATTTGGAAACGTTAAGGATAATATTACAGCATTTCAAAATGAAATATTTTGGAAAAGAAAAACAGAGAGACAGATTCATGGCTTGTGCGTTTTGTATTGATTTATGATCTCACTAGTAATAATGCACTAGTTCATAAAAATCAAGTAGCAAGAGGTACAGATAATGATGTTTTATTATATTAATAGAAAGTGGTTGTAAAAAACTATATCAGGTCTCCATCTTTGGAAATATTGCCCCTTTTTTGAAAGTTTCCAGGTACTAAGTACTTTTCATCTTGTCTTTTTTACCAAAGGTAGAACTCCACTTGTTTTCAATAAATCCATATGTTAGAGGAAAATGACACGATATCT